ATTTTTCTCAAAATTTTCAATTTAAAAAACAAATCTGGCTTCTTTGGGAACCAATAACTTAGTTGCTTTCTCAAAAGAACAAAGTTTGCTTTCAAGGGAAGCAAATAAAAATTATTGGTGAATTTTACTCATTTGCTAACTATACTCGGGATCTCCCCAAAGATTGATATCTAATGTGTGTGTATACATATATATATATATGTGTGTGTGTGTGTGTGTGTTTCAACTTCTTAAGAAATGGATCCTTAAATGCATCCAATTGCCCTAATTGTGTTCTCATAATATTTTTAAATGTATTTTTATCAGAAGCAGATATTTTCTACAACATGTCAATAATATTTTATCAAAAATAATTTATTCAAACAATATAGTTATTTTTTATGATGGTAAGCTTTTAGCTAAAAGTAAGTTTTTTTAAAAAGAAAGTTTTTCCCTCAGTACTACCGGCAAAAAGGCTGATTTTGGAATGCGTAGTGGTTGCGATATTCAAATGATATTTCATTGCCTTTGTACCTATATCCTAATTTGCGATATTCAGGTTACTATCATGATCAATCTAGAATTAAAAATAGCACATTTGGTTCGAGCCTTTGGAAGAACATCTGGAAACTAAACAATATCATTTTACAACACTCTAGTTGGGTTATTGGGAATGGCAACAAAATAAGATTTTGGTTTGACATATGGCATGACAAGTCTAGTCTTCAAACAAGATTCCCTCTTATTTATGCTATTGCCTGGGATAAAAATATTTTGGTTAAAAACGCTGCAGTTCTTGACAACTGGGGCTTTTGACAGGTGTCAGCATTCATAAACTTACAAGATTGGGAGTTAGAGGAATATTTATCCTTGCTACAGACTCTGTCTTCAATTCAAGTCTATGACAGGGAGGATAATCTAAAATGACTAATTTCTAAAAATAGTATTTTTACTGTCAGATCTCTCTACAATAACTTGGCGGGCAATCTTAATCAGAACAACATTAGCTTCCCTTCCAACATAATATGGAAATTGGGTGCAACTCTAAGAATTTCATTTTTTACTTGGGAAGCTACAAAAGACCGCATTGTTACCCTTGACAACCTAATGAAAAGAGGTTTTATGATCGTCAATAGATGTTTCCTATGTAAAAACAATTTTGAAACCTGTAACCACTTGCTTTTAGGCTGTTCGGTTTCACAACAGTTATGGAACACCATTATTAGTCTTATGGGGCTGTCTTGGGTCATGAACAACAACATTCATACTGAACTCCTAGCATGGGAAGGCTTCAGTAGCAAGAGAAAAATGTTAAGATTAATTCTACTCACCATAATACGGGTCTTTTGGAAAGAGAGAAACAATCGCGTTTTTGAAGGAATAGAAGTTGATTTTAATAAACTCATTGATTGTTGGTTTCACTATTTTGGTTCTACTATTTTGGGTCATAACATCAATTGTCTTGATGATCTTGGTTTTGTTGTTGATAATTTAATCGACTTGTAAATACATTATAAATGGGTTGTGCCTCCTTGGCACTCTAACATCAATATATCTCCTCACGTTTATTTCAAAAAAATATCCTAATATGCTTTTAATTTTAAGGTCTGCTCTCTTCCTTTTGTTTCATATTGTACCCTCCATAGCCTATATTCAAGAACTTGAAATTTACATTTTCATTATTCACTCTCCAATTGATATCATCCTTCCTATTAGATGATAACATCTATTCTATTTTTCTTGTGCGGCTCTGATGCTGCCAAGTTGTTGAGGTAACTGAGAAGTATATTTGGTTGTTCCATTGTTGCATTGTGAAGCATGAATTTCTTGGTGGTATAGACTATTCTGTAGTAGTTTCAAGAACTTGGGATTTTCTCAAAACCAGATTACACTTTACACTTGAACTGTCTCATTACATCATATTTCTGATGAATGATTGTATCATATTTCTGATGAATGATTACATCAAAACTATCCTTCTGCTTTTGCATTTTGAACGTGTTTGAGATTATATTTAATAGTGCAAGTCCAATTAATTTTTCCTTTTCAGGTTGATTAATCCAGTAGTTGTTGCTCCAACTATTGCTGCTGTTGGACTTTCTTTCTACAGCTATGGCTTCACACTTGTTGGAACCTGTCTTGAGATTGGTGTAGTGCAGATACTACTGGTTATTCTTTTCTCTCTTGTAAGTTTTTGCAGAGCTATTCTAAAT